TTTATATTTATATAGTTAATATGATATTATATGTTAGCGATACAATTATATTCACAAGAGTATAATTTTAATATAAATTATTTAAAATGAATATATTATATTTTAAATTTATCTAATGGTTGAAAATAGGCCGCTAGATTTTTTCAATAGCATAACGTCTTGAGAGTCATAGCTTCGTCTTGCTTAATTGATTTTGTGTATACGAGGAAAACAAAATAAATATCCTAACACAAAAATTGTACAATTTTCAGACAAAATGGACAGATTCGTGTACGACATATTTGTGCAATAAATGTTAATAACGTTTAAAAGGTGAAATACGTATTTTTTGTTTTAATAGGTTCGATTATTATATGATTGAAAATTTGTAATAGTTAATAATATTTATTTTAAAAGTTTCACCTTATAAACTTCAACAGCTATTCGACAAAATCTTGTACAAACAACAAACGGACATGCCCCTCTAAGTAAAGGAATAGTTTCTAATTCATCACTTCTTCCACTCTGTAGGTTCAGTTTACAAAGTCTACTAAGTTAGTTATCTAAGATGTTTTTATTTCTTGTCGTCTTCTTTTCATTATTTTCAATATACTTATATACTAGGCTGTAAAGTTCTAATATAACTATACCGCTATTGTATCGCACTCTTCATATTTTTATTTTATTAGTTTTTAGTTAACATTGTAATAATAATTGTTCTATCATTGTAATTGACAACTAACAAAATCTCAATAGAATAAGAACAATCACCGCTTGTAAAAGTATCCCCCTTGGGCGCAACTGTAAAAATATAAATCATCAATAAAGCCTGAAATGCTAGAACGTCAATTTTTCACAAACAAATAATTGCTCATCAATGTGTTTTCAAATATTGCTGTGTAGTCTCGGTAGATCGAATACATACTTTCAAGTAATCCTGAAAGTAATAGAAAGTACCTAGCCAAGAATTGATTTAATTATGTGGTTTTAATATCTCAGTTTAAAAAAGAAAATATGTGAACCTCTTTCTAATTTACTCTTACTATAATATTTACTTTTCAGATTTTAAACAAATATAGCATTTCACAAAAATCTACTTAGGTCAGCCCCCGACTCTGAGTAATTGTTTTTCTTCATGGCATCATCAGCAAATCTATATTAATTCACACTATTTTTTAATATGTCTTTATTAGCTATAATTCGATAAAAATATAATCTGTATATACAAAATTAATAACTTTTCTGTAATTTCTATGATGTACCAAATACATAAAAATAATAATTATACACACTAAGATATTGATATAGTAACTCCTTAATTTTCTGTCTAAATACACATTATCCTAGTGAGCTAAAAAAAAAATCTTTTAATAGTTTTGTGAGTTGTATAAATTCGTGATATTTATAGCTCACATGTCCAACCAAGAAAAAATAAGAACAAGTTATGTTATATATATGTCCAATGTAGTCGTACTCAAAATTCCATTTATTATATTTTACGTTCACTTGTTTTCTTTTTGTTAAGGTTTTCCCTATCGAATTATCATTATTTATAGTTTTTTTATATTTCTAATACGAATATCGAAAAGTTAGCATTGTTCTGACAGCATATCATTTTCATCCGGTCAATAAACCTTTATTTCTAAATATCATTACGGTTTGCTTCGATTATTTATTAAGGAAATATAAAAAAGGTTTTGTTGACGTCCAAGTAATCGTTTTTGGTTTGTTTGTGCTACTTATGTTGAAATAATCGCACGATACAGCAAAACAAATTAAACAATTTACTACGTCTTTCTGACTGAATAACTCTCATGTTAAGAAATTCAAATCGAAATAATCCATTTGACCCAAATGATAAAAAAAAAATATTCGACTTGCATATTTTATGCTTATTGCGTGTGTTAGCATAATACAAGATACCCTCAGAAAAAATAATTTATTTTTTTCCTTGGTATAACTTAATCTGGTAAATATTGGCTGACGTTCATTTGGTATTAATTTATTTTTCTTATTGATTATGTCTAATGCCATGACATTATTTCACAATAATTTTGCATCGACGGTATTATAATAAAACATATATATATATATATATTTTTTTTTTTTTATTAAATATTCCATCTAAAGTTCTTCTTCTAGTTATTTTGAATAAATAGCATGCTAATGACATCAAAAAGTAATTTTTGGCTTCAATTCATTTCCCCCTAGATTTGAGAAAAGCTGCGCTGGAAACAATAATGTTTTCTTCGCCTAATCCCATTAGGCTAGAGTTAGCTGGCCTAATCCGCAATTACCATAGCTACGCACAAGGCTATTAGCTTTAAAGTATTTTGGTTTTTTTAAAATTATAATAATTACAACAGGTACACCTCTAGTTAATATTTTGAAATAATTGTGGAACATCTAACCATAACCATCATGTTATATAATTTCAAATTATACATCTATTTAAAGGCATCATGTAATATTATATTCATCAATAAATTGTTTATAAAATAAATGTAAAATATTCGAGGTTATATGAAGTAAATAGTATTTTACAATAATAAAATACAATTATTGTATGGAACATTATTTTTATGATCAAAGCAAAAAAGAAAAAAAAACATAAAAACCATTAAACCATATTGTTGTTAGTAAGTGGACATTTAACTATACACCCACGTGTCACATAATAACAATTTGCATACCTTTTGATCCTTTCTACAAAGAAAAAATAACAATAATAGACGGTTGAATAAGCAAAGTAAAAGTTGTAGTACACCATTATACACCATATATTGTACAACATTCATTCGACAGATCCCTCAATAAAATATAAATTTGCGTACTTTAACTGTAGAAACATAGTATTGTACACGTTTCCGGAGTGTATATAGCGTTATGTATTTCATGTATAAGCAAATGCAAGTTGTCGTCAGAAATTGTAAACATTAAATTCTCACGGGTTTTACAAAATACATAGAATAGTGTCATGGGTCAAAGAAACGGGATGGCTTTTACAACATGTTATATTTTGTGTGTTCACTGAACAAACGTATACGTTATTCAAGTTGTGCAAACTAGATCATATCCCTAATAAGATTTACTATGGCGAGCATGTAAAATATTAGTACTGTTGCATGTTAGACAAACTAAGAGTTTGATTATGAACTAAACCACTTTAATACAATAGTTTACTTTTTACGAACAAGTTAAATTTTTAAACCGTAATAGACATCTATAACGTACACACTTTCGTAGGCAATAATGACTTATATTATGTGAAGTATAAATTTCAAATTCGATTGTAAATAAACTTATTAGATATGGGTATCAATAGGTATAATATGTCAACTTTTACTCAGAGTTCCTTAAGATTCAGATTAAGAGTTCCATTCGTTACATAAGATAAAAATCGTTTTACTTTATCTAATTTGGAAATATTTTTATACACTTAAATTATTCTAAATGTGTATTGTCATTTATAGTTGAATTATTATTTTATAATTTACACTGATAATTTAAAAACTTATAACAATAATTATTTAAATTATTTAATTTTAAAATGTAAAAAAGTATACTTAACCTTTGTAACTCTCTGTTTCCCCAGAAGCTACGCTAAAAGGAAGTAGTGACAATTTCCAATTTAAATTATTTTTTGTACCATTGTATTACAACCGTAATTTGCTTAAAAATAAAAAAAAAACGTTGAAAAGTTTAATTTGTTGTGTAAATAAACGATATATAAGTAAAAATTCTCAACAAAATCTGTATAATTGTGGCGCTTATTTGTTGTGTTTAAATAAACATTTTTGTTACAAAAATTCATTTCTGTTCTTAAGAGGACGTCACACACCCGTTATTTTCTACAAAAAACCCGCCTTGCGCGGATTAATTTTACAAAGGATATAATCAAAACTAAGAAACAAAATTTTTACATAATATAGACAACAACGTTGTCTGTGTTCTAGTATCACCCTTTTTTTAACATTTCAACCATTTAATGAATAATTAATTAATTAAGAAAGGACTTTTTTAAAAATGATATAGCATTGGTTGTATTAGGTATATCGAAAAAATACGGATGATGGAACACAGATAATGTTGTCATAAATAATATGTATGAATTTTTTTCCCTGACTATGTATGAAGCCTGAGAAAAATTATTCCGCGCAAAGCAGTTTTGATGGGAAAAAAATTGCAATTTATCCTACAGACATTATTGTGATAGTCTGGCAAAAAAAATGGCAATCAGCAAAGTATCCTCATTACTGTATTAATAAGTATACATTATAGTTCAAACTCTAAATTAAGATTTTTCGAAAAATTGCCTATACATTACTCCTTAGAAATGGTCGGTGTGGCGTCCTCGCTACACCGCCCATGTGTAAGAAGTAATGTATAGACGATTGTTCACAAAATCATAATTTATAGTCCATATAAACTATAGTATATAATTATTAATACACTTATAAATATTCTTTATTGACTGCCATTTTTTTCAGATTATCACAGTCATTTCTATAGAATAAATTATAATTTGTTCACATCAAAATTGCTTTGTGTAGCAAGTATGTGAGGGCACACATTAACAGTAGATTAACCTAATTTTCACAACGTTTAGAGGAGGAGTTTATCTTTGTCGTTGCATTTTAGTTTTTTGATATCTATAATTATAAATATTTTATAAGCAAATAAAAAAAAAGGAGGAAAAAATTAATCTTTACGAATAAATAATTGTGTTTAAATTATCAAAAAACTAAAAACGCTACGGCTCAGACAAAGTTCTACACTGTCCATTGAAAAAATTATAAACGGTTAATGTTAATACCGCCTTCACATACTTGTCCATCGCTAAACCATTTTTCGCGGATTAATTACGAGTGTGTAGAGTCCTCTTAATTAGTTTTCGTTGAATCAATAACAAAATATACTGATTCAATACTTAATTTGTAAAAACAATATAAAAATAGAATACTATTGATATTACAAATTTAATACGTTTATTGATTTTAATTTGTATTTTGTTGTTTCAGGATTTCAATAACTCCAGCATGCCTTATTCATATGCCGAAGCTGTTTGTTTACTTATTACTCTGAACTGTTTTCAACGCGTGACTTCTAATGGTATGTTATAATTTAATAATTATACGTTTTCATTATTTTTTTATTCTTTAATTTTATTATTTACTCGATTCGCAATCAATTTAATCGAATCAAACATATTAGTTTTTCATTCAATTGGTTGTCTATACAAAAAATACCATTTTTATTGGTAATATTTTTTCGTTATAGGTATTGTTAATCAATTATTATTATATTAATTAAATTGATAATATCTCAAATATGCATATTACCATAATAATTTTACATTCAAATCATCCTATGTAATATATTAAATATATCCAACATATTAAAATACGTATTAACGGATATTTAGGTAGGTACTTAATATTTAATGTACATAATTGAGTATTATAACAATAACAATAAGCTAAGTATATATTATAATAAAATCGAATTAAATTAAATGTCATCTGTATTTTTTGTAAATGAAGTTTAAAACTGTATACTATATAGTAAAAAAATATTATTATATTGTTATGTAGAATATTGTAAGCATGCTAGACCACTTTGTGTTAAAAAAATAACAATTATCAAAACAACAATGTGATGTGGAATTACGCTTTAAAATAAATTATCGGGGAGATTACTTTATAAATCAAATTTCAAATGTGGTACGTAATTTCGTGTAAAGAAAGAATGCACTTAGAAGTTTAATTATGCAAAGTTACATTTGTTTTAAGCGTAAATTTTTAGAGAAACGGAGCATGTCATTTGCATAATTTAATTCCGTGTAATATTCCGTTTTGCAAAATCTAAAACTTAACTCACCCAGTTTATGCAAAACTAGAATAATAATAATAATGAAAATAACAATGACAGTAATTTATTGTAGATCTAAGGCTCGAAGAAGAAAACATTTTACATAGATGGTAGGTGGCTTTAAATCATTTATAAACTTTGAATTTATATGAATTCGAAATGTTACATGTTAAGGAGGCCGCATCATGTTTTTTTACAAAAAAATATTAAATATAGGTATCAAAAAAATAAAAACGCCACCCCATAGATAAAGTTTTTCTCTACACATTGTGGGAATTTGGTAAATCTACCTCTTAAGGGGTGGAGCTAAATTATACATACTTCCCAAAGTTGAATTTTAATTTATAAAATACTTATGCATATTTTGTTGACAAATATTCTAGGTTTCTTAGGATTGCGATTTTTAATTATTTCTTTTGAAGACCTCCAAAATAATTATGATATTATTTTTGAAAATTCAGTGATATTCTTGAGTTAAATTTTAATTGATTTTAGGCATACCAAATTTTAAATCGAAAATCGCCTTCCTATAAGAAATCTAGACAATTTGTCAACAAATCCATACATACTTTAAAAATTAAAACCCAACATTGGAATGTATGTCTAATTTAGCACCGCTTATTCATGGTCTAAAACGCATGAAAACTAATTGTACTCCGACAATGATCTCGGTAGTCTATACACGTTTTCCCGATTTTTACTTTACTGTAATAATAGTATTAATATTTTAATTTTTGCGATAACCATATTGCACTACACGTTCAAAGTGGACGATGGGCCAATCAATTTAATCGACTCGACCGATTCCTACTGGTGAATAACACCTCTGGCGGAAGTCTACGCCACATATGTGTCTGAAATAGCCGCTATCTCATGTACAACAACCTCACGTGGATTAATAATAATAATAGTATAATTTCTGTACGAAAACGATTTGTCTTGTACTGTCAGAACAACGTCATAATAATGATAATAGTAATAATAAAAATAATGACAATGACGATGATAATAACAATAACAATAACAATAATAATAATAATAATAATATTATGCTACTCGCCGGTTCGAGTTTTCCCGGCGGTAACGTTTTGTCGAAAGCTCTGATGGGGCAAAACGCAGTCGTTGTCGCGCCTCCGCCTTAAGGTGAGATGGATGAGTACGGCAAACAAAAAAATATATATACGAGCGAAAAACCGAAAATGGTTAAGAACAACACCGATATCCCACAATAGTTTTTATTTCATAAATCTCAGTGCGTCTACCGTTACTTTGTATTTTATAATTCTATACACAACTGTATTCTATACAAAATCTGAAAAACAACGTTTTTCATTTTTTTTTTTTTTTACAAGCTTAAAAATCAAAATACTCGACTTAATAGTTCAATAGAGTCGAATAATATTCATTTTAATATTATTCAAAACGACCCAAAAACACTTTGATTCGAATTTCGATCAATAAGTTTGACCAATATTATACCATGTATACCATGTATACCAGTGACAAATTGTTTAGATAAATTACTTACTCACCATATAGGTCGTCTAAAATTTTATATACAAAAAATTAATATTAAATTAAAAAAGCTTTTAGAGATTTTATGCGTAATTTTCGAGTCATAATATCATAAAATGTATAGATAAATTTATTTGTAGAATAACATATAATATATAAGTTTTCAACTAATAGTTAACTTTTTTTTTTTGAAACGTGAGCATTCCAAATAAAAGTTTTCTCGAAGACATTCGTTTTTTTGTATTGTTTATGTATATATTGTAAATGTTTTTCCCAAACAACCGCCAAGCCATAAACAATACTACACAAATTATCTTCAGTTATTATACCAATTAAGCATCTTTGCAAAGTCTTAACTCAAAATCCAGAAATAAGAGAAAATACTAGCCTACATAGTACTGAGTAGTAAGTAGATTCACTGCGGGTGGCTTCCGCAATGTCTTGATATGTAATTTGGTCTTGTATATATTTGGTACGCATAACTAACTGATTAAAATTTATAATATTAAAATAAAGATTTTACGTTTCCAATTGAAAAAATGCTTACTGGATTGTCCTGACCATTTGCAGAGACTCTGTAGAAATAAATAGTAGCCCAATGTAAACATATTATAGATAACTGATGATTGAAAATAATATTTTCCATATTATGATGTCAAACATTGTACTAGACGGACCGAGAATGAAGATTTAAATACATCTTTTAACATACGCGTTTGTTTTGCCGCAAATGTCCTCCACTCTATGTAACTCATATTATTATAGTTTTATATGTATTGTAACGGCATACAGCTTTGCATACTGCCTTTGCCTGTTGTACGATGATGATTAACATTTAAAAAAACATAATGTTCATCATAAATATACTCGACTATATTATTATCTAGACGTATAATGTCAAGCATCGCAGTATAATAATATATTATAATGCAATTATTGAAGTGTCGAGGAAATACTGCTGTTGTCACAAGAATATCCTATTTATTTTCCTCGGGTAAACAAAAAAAAAAACAGTGAATGTCGAAACTCTGATTAGTGAAATACAAGCGTCTGACTGTAGTCTATGCCGCAGCGACTTTGCGTCGAAGAACATTTAAATTTGTCAGCTTAAATAAATATCGTATGTATTTGTATTATGCCTTTTTCTTTTGCAAAGTTGTTATCTTTCACATACACAAATACAAATAACAATATGTGACCGTGTTCAGAATAATGAGTATGATAATATCCAAGGAATATTCTCAACTCTTCTATACAGCGGTTAGTAAATATTTGTTTTTGTACACAAGTATATTATGCAGTGAATAAGTTTTTTTTTTTACAAAAGAAACAATCACTCTTTATACATTGTTCACGAGTACGGAAGATTCGATTTCAGTAAAATTATTTTCTGGCACATTTACATAATATGTGATATGTGTATACTGTATACTCTGATATTCGTATGGGATAAACGGCGATTAAATTTCATCTAGAACATCATACAGTCACGTCAAAAGTATAGTTGATATGAAGCAAAACTTAATAGAGTGATGTGAGTTTTTTTTTTTAGCAAAACCACCTTGAGTAAATTGAGTTTTGTTTAAACAATTACTCTGTCGAAAAAAAACACAAACAGGAGTTTTTTCCAAGTTATCCTATACAATTTATTATAATCGTTATCATCAGGTACTATAATTGTTTTAGTTTCATCCAACCTAATAGTTTAGTATAGAAATTTCAATAAATATTTATTATATGAAAATTGGTATTACTGGTAATATATTCTAAATAGTTTTAATGTAAACAGGATAACCCTTAATATTTATGTAAACAGATAGTTTACGCGGTTGGACTCATCTTGTCGGACATAAAACAAACATTACATTGGTGGCAAATATTTGTTTGTTCTGTTGATTCATTAATTTCGCTAACATCCAATGCATATAATATATCAATTGTCATCGATTTATTAGTTTAAGTACATATATGAGCAATATAAATCATGTTTAATAAAGTACATCAATAATGACAATTGGAAAATTATTTGAAAAATGGATACATTATTGGAACAGTCTCTGTGCTGATTAATTTGATTTTCAAATCTAATGTAAACAAATTATTCTCTAAATTATAATAACTCATACCCTTAATGTAACATTTTGATTGCATTTAAAATATAAACACGGATTGTGTTCGTAATTGTTGTAATATGAAATAGTAATAGCGGAACCATTTGCAATTGTTTATTGTTATATTACTTATTAATATCATGCAGGTTTAAACCTAATATTTATGTGTTGACTAATTTTAGTAAAAAATACTTGGTTTTTAATTTAAATAGTTACAACAATATTGAAAAATGGGTATAGAAATAATTGCTACTTGGTAAGAACTTGTTACTTGCTAAATGTAATTTAACGCTGTGTAATACAATTATTTACCTTACAAAAGAAACGAGTCTGACTTTGACGTAGTCTGCTTTGTTCGGGTCCTTATCATTCGTTGAATAATTCAAACAGTTCACACTTGAACAGATTCAATGTAATAGTTCGGTCTTTCAAACGATACGGGTTCATTTAAATGGTACACAAAGAGTAAAATACTTTGAAATTGTACGACAGTTGGAAGGTTATCCTAATCAAACAAATTCGTTTAAGTAGATCTTAATCGTTGTTTATTTTCCCCTTGATATGATAACATTCTAACATAATTTTTTAGATTATTTGCAATTTTTATAGTTGGAT